CGGCGAAACTTGTGTGAAGTAATTTATGGGAGAGGGAGTGACTAGGAAGGCTTGAGGGACATATGTTGTGGAGTTCTTATTTTAGTGAAAAAGTATATTCAGTGAAGTATATTCAGTATATATTATTTTAGAGAAATATTATATATTAATTTAGTATTTAGTATATTCATATTGTTATTATTTATTGAAATATATATATTAATTTAGTATATTCAGTGTATATTATTTTAGTGAAAAAGTATATTCAATTTACTTCAAAATGGTGAAAAAGTAAAATGCTTATTTAGTGTGTATATTCACACATATTTGATAAAAAAATTATAAACTTATGTTAAAGAAATGAGACAAAAGCAAATAAAAATAAACAGTTGAGAACAGAAAATTTTAAACTAAATAAGATGCATTAAACACTAATACAGAACACATAGAAACAGTGCTGTCGATGAGGATGGCAGCTGAAAATTACCCCAGCCTGTTTGAGATGTTATGCGTGATACTGAAGCAGTCATGTATCCGTTTCAAAACATAGCAATTTTTTGAAGTAACTTCAGCCCATGCTCCTCTGCTGGCTGTCTAAGGGGATGGTTTGAAGTCTCTGCAATCAAACACAGTGACCCGGACCTCCTGCCAGCCTACATGAGCAGGGATCCGGACCTCCTGCCCCTAAGTCATTTTCACATTGTCTAAAGAGATGCAGATAAGTGCAATGTTGTCTGCAGCACCATGAACGGTGAGTGCAGCATTTATTGTTGTGGCTTTCCTTAATGTTGCAGGAGTTGCATCACATCATCATTTTAGATGAATCTTGATTCTGCATACAGCATCATGTTGGGCATTCATTTGTGGAGGCACTGAGGGAGAGGAATGTTGCCAGCTTGCATACATCATGGTCATACAAGCCTAGCAACTAGCTTGTTGGTATGGAGGGCCTTTGCAGACATCCTGTTCACCTCTTATTCTCACAGCTGGTAATGTGGCCACACTTTCTGACATGTTAAAGCCTGTGACTGTGCCCTATCTTCAAAGCCTGTGTGATGCTATCTGTCAGCTTGCAGTTGTGCAATCACATGTTGCCTATGGAACCTCGGTCGACAACCACATGTTGCCTATGGAACCTCGGTCGACAACCACATGTTGCCCGACCCTCCTCGATATAGCGGATGTTCAACTGTTGGCTTGGTCAGCACGTTCTCTAGATCTCTCACCCATTGAAAGTATTCAGTCATGGGTTGCCAAGAGACTGGCACATCACTACATTCTAGCTCCTGCAATTGATGAACTCTGGCATTGAGTTGAAGCTGCTAATCTGTGTCCATCATCAAGCTCAGTTCGACTATGGAATTAAGCCATTGTTACTATCAAAGGTGGCAGGGTACTGGATTTTGCATGCTTACATACCCCAAACCACTCACAAATTTAATCATTGTTCTTCCAATTGTACTCTATATGTACAATAAATAAGATTCTGCTATTTGCTTTCCTTCCTGGTGTAGCGATTTTAATGGCCAGCAGTGTATATCCTAAAATCACGTTTTCGGGACATGAAAAAATGTAAGTTGAATTTTGTGATTTGGCCAACAGTTGTAGGGTTATAGGTATGTCTCCCTTTTTCCATTTGTAGTTCATTTGCTTTCTTTAAAAAATTGTTCAGCTGTTTTATTTACATCTTTTTTTTTTTTTTTTTTTTTTTTTTTTTTAAGCACTCAGGCATTACTTTTTGGATGTACTTTGTAGCATTGAGATAATTTATAAGTACATGGAGTACTACTTACCGTAATTTATGTAGATGGGGGGGGACGAGTTACTCGATTATCCATCAAAATTAAAATTTCCAAAAGTTACAATTCCAGATTCTACAGCTTGCATTTAAATTTTATGATGCGAGTCAGTTACATGCATTTCCTAAGTCTCTTTTTATTTTAAGAATTTATCAACTCGAAATCTGTTTTCTAAATATTTTCATTAAGTTTTCAACACTATATTTTAGATATGTTCTGGAAGGTATGTGACTCATTCTTTATTCTGGATTTTGTAAGTTTTGAAATGAGTTATTTGTTCATTTCAAAAAAAAAAAAAAAAAAAAAGCACCATCTAAATGACCATAAATTTACCACTAGACAGTTAATTGAGTTAGTTGGCTTGAGATCTCTCAGCAGCCATTGGTATTCAAATAATCTCTGAACAGTCGTATTCAGTGACAGGGCCAGCTTCTAAGCATCGAGCTACCAAGTGGAATCTCTGTCCTTAAATTTTGCTGCTTTTTCTCTGCTGCCTTGTATACTAACCGTCTTTGGCACCAGCCCTGCTTAGAGATGCAGATTTCATCTACAAATCTCTGCATGACTGATAAGCCTTTGTCATAGATATGTGCTGCCCAGTGTTTAGTGACACTAGCTACACAATTGGCCCTGATTCAATTGGTGAAGAAGCCATGGGTGTTTGTAAGGATGTAGTGTCTGTCCAGCAACAAGGCACGCAAAATACATGGCGAGCCGAAAGTCTTTTCAAGAGGTTGGTGTTAGACCCTCAGACTGCCTCTGGAATATTCTCCCCCAAAATTGGGGCAGAAGTGCACAGTTAATGTGACAAGACCATACCTTAATGACCTGTGATAAAATTCTTATGTCATGCCTACTTCTACCTGTATCTGTCATAGATATCATGTCTGTGACAGAGATGGTTGCTCATGATTCTTCCTGAACAAATAAACTGTCACTGAAGAGTTGTCTTATATGAATATGTGATGGAAGGCTGATTTTCCAAAAACGATGCGAGAGTCATGGTTTTGTGATATCTAAACGTCGATAGGTAATATCATCATCAAGAAAGGAAAAAAAAAACATCAAATTGGAGCCTCAAGTGGGACAAAAATTCCAAACAAGTATCCAAGGAAAAAACAGACATCTTCGACTATTGCAAAGGTACGTTGTTTAATGTTAAAAGAAAATCCCCCTAGTCAAAGGACAGTTGCAAAATCCCCGAGACAAAAGAGAATCCAGAATCACCATTAAACTGAACTTGAATTCAACTCTGTATCGTATTCAAGCCAGTACTTTGTCTTGGCTTTATTGACAGTAAAAATGACACCATCATAATCAGACATCTCCTAAAAATACAAAAAGTAGTGTACATTGCAGTGGCCTTTTTGCGTAATGACCATGCTGGCGAGGCATGTTTGTGTTATTTGAATATCAGTAGCAACTGAGAAGATCTAAGCCAACGGTGTGTTAGTTGTATAATGGTTTCTTCATGTCTACAGTAACAAATAGTGGTATTCTTTTGCATCCTTTCCCTCAGATAACTTTGCTTAGCAAAACTGTGAGACACACCCTATTTTTGCATGGGGAAGAGGGGAATGTCTTGTATTTACATAACACAAGCTGGAAAGTGCATTTACTCCACAAGAAACAAACCTGAGGCCACCAGTGTGAGTTTCAGCTATTTGGGCATTGACGGACCCTTAATGTTTATGGAATCTCAATATTTTTTCAGTATATATAGCATTAGTATGCTTAAAAATTAACATACAGAGGCTGTTCGCACATTTTTTAGATGATTTTGGTAAGCGGTAATAAAAAATCGTTTGCTGCAAAAGAAGTAATTGCAATTGTACTATGTTTTTAAAAGTCAAATTTATCGTCTGTGGCTTGAAAGTTTTGTTTTATTCAAAATGGTGAAGTTAACAAAGCAGTGGTTCGAAGGCTACATTTACACTCTTTCCGAAGAGAAATATGCATACTCCATTATCCAAAAACAATGTGAGAGTCATGGTTTTGCGATATCTAAAGCGTCGATAGGTAATATCATCATCAAGAAAGGAAAAAAAAAAAAAAGTCAAATTGGAGCCTCAAATGGGACAAAAATTCCAAACAAGTATCCAAGGAAAAAAGCGGACATCTTCGACTATTGCAAAGGTACGTTGTTTAATGTTAAAAGAAAATCCCCCTAGTCAAAGGACAGTTGCAAAATTATTAAAATGCTCGGTGTCCACTGTAAACAAAATGATAAACGTTGATTTAAATCTTAAGAAAGCAAAAAAAACGCAATGTGCATCATCTTCTTCCAAAGCATATCGCTCAACGCAGGATATGCTGCAGAATTCTATATGAGAAACACTTATCCAAAGAAAAATGGAAAACAATTGTCTTAATAGATGAAGCATGGATGTATTTAAATGACTGTAACAAAAAAAGAGCCATTTATTATCATAAAAGGGGAGAAAGAAATTTAAGTACATGGTTCAATGAATCAAAAGAAAGTTTTTCTAAGGGGTTCATGATTGTTTCTGGTTTTTCTTATAATGGCAAGTTAAAAATAAAGAGAGTGCAAAAAAAATGTCAAGATTAACTCCAAATACTTTCAGGAACAAATTTTATCGCTAATTTTTCTGAATGAAATACCATCACACGGTGCCATCAATCTGTGAGACTCCATCAGGACAAAGCTAGCAGTCACACATCAAAATCCACTGTAGATTTCCTAAAAGAAATGAAACAAAAAACTGGTATCAACACCATACCCTTCACTGATATCCCTACTAAATCTCCCGATGTGTAACCTATGGATTTTTGTGCTTTCGGACTTTTAAAAACTGCATTATCCAAACATTGTCCCAAAACCCTAACAGGACTCTGGAAAGCTGTTCGGGAGGAATGGGATAGAATACCTCTTCTGTCACTTCAAAAGGCATTATTATCCTGGAAATTGCGGTGTGGAAAGATAGTTCAGAATAAGGAATGTCAAACAGAACATTTAAAACACAAGAATTTTATGTAATATAGTTTTGTGAATACAATATACGTCATCTAAAAAATGTGTGAACAGCCTCTGTAAAAATGGAAATGTAAGTTTTTGACATCTTTTTAATGATTAAGATCTTATGCAGTATATGAATAGCTTACAAGTCAAATGTTATGGTGCTTTACAGAACTTTTGTCTTTTATTTCCACTGATTATTTTTAAGTATATAATATATCATGCATTTGTATGTTTCAATGTAGGAAATTGATGCTCTGCAAGATGCTCTCTCTCCTACAATTTTATGCAGTATTGTGTCTGAAGGCAACTTAGAAAAGCTTGAAATCATGAGGCAATTTGTAAGTATTTATAGAACATGTTTGTATGTAAAACATGAAAATTCTGTGAGTTTACATGTTGAATTTTTATATTATTTTTACATCATGTGTTTCTTGTAAAATATATCAATGTAATAATCCTTAATACAGTTGAAAATATGATAAACATCTTGATATTCATTTTGGAGTGTAATTGCATTCATTGTATGAACTCAACAGAAGGCAGAATTTTGGTTTTATGATACTGATTTTGAAACTCTATACCTCTAAGACAGTTTTTGAATTTTAAAGTGTTGCAATTAAATGTTAAGAGAAACATGTCAAAGCGAAATTAGGCTCAAAATAACCTCAGGTTTGCAAAGATTTTGCATAAAACTTGATGCAGTAGGAAAATGGTCAAAACTTTAAACCATGAAAACATTGAAATAATGAAAAGTAGGCATTCAGCCGTAAAAACTGAAAAGCTCAAAACGACTAGTAAATAGCAAAACACAAGCATAAAATTGACTACATGCAGAATTAAATTATCAAACCAAGAACTTCACTATCTGAAACTGAGATTACATCAAAAGTTAACTAAACAGAAAGAATTAAAAATTAAAATCCATTAACCTGCTAGAATGAAAATATTCATAACAAAAGTAAATTGGCACTACAAATAGCAAAAGCATATAAAAGTGCAAATTAAAAATTACTGAATTTTACATTCTTAAGCTATTTAGAAGCATAATTAATAATAACTGAAGCTGATTTACTGCTAATTAAAATTTTCATAATTTTCAGTATTATAATTTAATAAGAATATCAAGATGAGATCTCTTAAATAAGTGATATAATTAAATAGTATTTTATCAAATTATTATACTGCAGCTGTAACTTTAGTGTAATATTTTTCCTTGGTTCTTCTGTGTTTTAAATATGTCTGCTAACCTTAAATTAAATTTTTGTTTACTTTTTTAATAATTCACAAGCATATAATGTGGCAATTATTTCTGCTATAGGGTGTATATCTTTCAGCCTGTGATTATGATTATCGAACTCCACTCCATATTGCTTGTGCAAATGGAAACCTGCAAATTGTTGAGTATCTTCTGAAACACGGTGCCAGTGTTCATATGCGAGATCGGGATCATAGGACACCTCTAATGAATGCAGTTGAGAACGATCATCATGGAGTAATAGAGCTAGTAATTAAAGCTGGTGCTTACTTGAATTTGCCACCATTAATAATTGGAGAAATGCTCTGCAGGTAAATAAATATAATTATTCTGTTGTTATCATGCTTAAATTTTTAATTTAGACTTTTTCTTTCACTGATACTTTTGCTTTAGTGCAGCAAAACAGAATAACTTACGGCGTCTCGAGTCTTTGCTGCTTGCTCGTGCTGATCCTAATGAAGTTGACAGCACTAAAAGATCTGCTCTTCATTATGTGAGTTCTCTTTTGCTTTGTAAAATGCATTATTTAAGTATGGTTAAACCATTTTATAGAATCTTAATTTTTTTTTAAACATTTCAGGCTGTTGAAATAAATTCTAAAGATATTGTTACTTTCCTGTTAAATCATGGTGCAAATGTATCTGCTCAAGACATATATGGACATACTCCTTGTGATATTGCAAATATCTTGAAACGTTCTGATCTTTTGGAGCTGTTGCAGAGTCCTTTATCACCTGAGTAATTGTAAAACGTTAAGATAACAGGAAATCTCATTTTGCATTTCTAGTCAGTGAAATCTGCTTTAAAACTTGAAATCTTATTTAATGCTGATCCCATTTACAGACTTGCTTCTCTGTGATGTTTTCCTTCATTTATTACTTTAAAATATTTTAACTCATTATGCATGACAATTTCCTCAGGGTATGCACAGAAAACTGGCAGTTTCACTAAAGAAATAACTGTCAAAGAGAGCTGTTTTCAATCTATATCTGAAGTTAAGCTACAGCGCTATTTTATCAAGTTTATCAAGTTTCTGCTTATCAAGTTTCAGAAGCAATGCAAATGCTCACTTAAAATGCAAGAAAAATTTCAAAATGTATCCTTAAAATGGAAAACAGAATTAAATTGCACAGTAGATGTTTACAATATAAGTACATGTTGCCGCCCAGCATGTAGTATCAGTGCATGCAAGTTTCCCAGTAAAATATAACATTAACAAATATCAAGATGACCACCCACTTCTGTGATGTATGAAAAGGATAAATTAGCAATTATCGACTTTTCAGGTATTGAAGGCAAGAGTTGCCAAACACTTATGCTGAATTGAAAGAGGCAGTATTTATAATTTCTGTATATCACCGTAGTAGTTTATGCATGGACTGTTAACAATGTGTTTTCTGGCAAGAAACTCGTCGCCGGCTGCGAGATAAAAAAAAAGGCAGTACTAGCTATCCTATATATTAAAAGAAATATGCAAAATTCAGGTTTTACTCATATCCTGACACAACTTTTCTGAAAGTGAGGGGGGGGGGACTGTTAGATGAAGTGTTTTCAATCCTATTTGTACTTATATAAAGACTATTAAGGTTATCTTTTGACTCTGATAGTACCTGCCACCTATGCTTGCTCTGTTATTCAAGTATGGAGTAATAAATTGTTATATAATAAATCAGCTTTAAGTTTAGATTGTGTAATTTTGAATTTATCATTTTTAGAGATATGCTTATTTATTGATTTGACAAAAAATGAATCTCATATTTTTTAGGAATTTTATCAAACATTTTCTAAAATAAATAATTAAATCTGTAAAATATGCATGATATCATTAAGATATACTTTTTTAAACATTTCAGAGTATGGGATAATGATAAATTATTATATCTAAATGCTTGTTTATAGGAAGTGCTTTGCAGAAATTGCCAATTTATCTAAAATTATGATCATAAAAGACTGATCATTTGATCAGACTTACATGATCATCATTACTTAATTTCTATGAAGTAATCTTTTTATCCATTATATTAATCATCTCAAACTAGTTCTCTTTGTGTATGAATATTAATGAGCAATTTCCTTTTAACAATAAAAATTACCAAATAAATGGATGAATAAATTTTACATAGCAAAGGCAAAATTACCATGCTGTATGATCAAAAAGTTTCCTAAGTTATGCAATATATGCTAAGAATCTCATTTTGCTTGCATTATCAACATTCATTCAAATAATGTAGATTATCCTTTTTTTACTATCCAGGCTATATTTTATACTGACTAGGTGAAAAATATCCGTTTATGAAATAAACATTTATTTCTGTTTTAGCATTATCAGTACAGTCCATTAATAAGTTATTTAATTTATTATATTATTATTTATTGTGATGTTTTTAAGTTTAGCATTTTGTGTAATTTCTCATTTTATTAAATAGTGTAGATTTTGTCCTTTTATTGTGGAAAATCATATTAGTCCAAACAGAGGAATCCCAGGAATCAAATATGCTCGGGTAGCTCTGTTTGGTAGTATTATCATTTTGCTTAGTGAATGCGGGAATGCATGAAGAAGACAAACCTGTAAACTGTAAGTGATTGAATAACTAAGAATTATTTATCTTAATCTCTAGATGCAAATCTACTTATATCTTTTTTTTTTAAATTCTAACAACCTCTGCAGAGCTAGTCCAATAGAAAAATGCAAAATAAGTTATTGCTGCATTGGTCGAATTTAAGACAATTTTACAATTTTTAAGGTATTTTACAAGAAATAAGAAAAAAATTGAAAATCAAATTATATAAATACCATAATGGAAGAAAATATAGACAGGCACGTTTTTCATGTTTAAATTTAATAATAACAAGTATAAGGAATAATTGCTTTAATATATATTTTTTAAATGCAAATTGTACGAGACCACTCTACTTTTCAGGAAGGCATTTTAGGTGGGCATTGTTTTATTTTGATTTAGTTTAGTACAGTATTTTAATGCTATAAAATACGTAAGATTTTCTCTCCTTTTCTTTTCTTAAAACTTCATTTTTGCACCCTTATTCATTTTTGCACACCTCAAGACATTAAGGACATTATTTATTTGTAGAAGAAGATCGTTAATGTGTTATGAGCAATTTCTTGTTTATTGTTAAAATGATACTGTTGTATGTGTATTTTTATTTATGGAAAAGTTTCTGATATTTTAATTTTTAAATATTTTTGTCATTGACGAAATTTTAAGCTATTTGTAATTATTTTAAGTTGCTTCATACCCTTTTCATTAAGGCATATCATATGATTTCTTATATATTCACTTTTATCAAACTTAAAATTTATATTGTTTAATAATATGTTACTACTGTTTTATATGATAAACAGATTATTAAAAGAGAGAGACTGCTTCACTTTCTATATATTATCTGTTTCGATTTCATTGTTAATGAAGGACAGCTGTTTCCCTTTTTGCATTATAAATAGAGTGTTAAAGAAGAAAGGCTGTTTTCACTGTTTAGATATAGGACATATGAAGACATTTACTATGAATGATTGTTGTTATTTTAAAAAATTCCACATTGGAAAAAATATTATAGTTTCACTTAAATGAATATAGCAGGGGTGTTTGTGCTCCGGGGATTTTGAACTTCGATGCCCGGAAATTCCGGGGATCGTCGTTCAAAAGGAAGTAGGAATAATAAGGAATTATTTATTTTGATGTGGGTAATTTTGTTTGCTTTGAAAGCAGAAAACGCAAGGTCAGTGTGTGTGGTGAAAACTTTTCCTTTCCTTCTCCAAAGGCAGTGATAATGCGTGAAAAGGGGGGAAAACTTTTTTGTTCTTTCCTTATTGCGAGTTATGACTCATTCCCCCGGTTCTCAGACATTCTCTTCTGGATTCTTTTCGGCAAGTAGGCACGGCAGAAAAAAAAGGGAGAGACTTCGTTCGACCAGATGTGCGATCACGTGACTCTGGGTTCAAAGGTCTGATCTCTCCTGGTGTGGTGCCAATAAGTAAAGAAGGGGGATTTTTCGCCGTATTAGCTATTTGTCATTGATTGCTTCTCAACTTTTTTTTCTCCACTGTGTAAAATTTCCGTTTCATTTATATGGCTAAAAAAATCCAATGACTGATCCACTTCACAAAGATCTCTTACTGAATATGAACAGAAGTTGGAAAACATATCAAGAGGACTTAAAAACATGTATTTCAGATGAGTCACCTATAAAGGTCTCTGAAAAACCTTCTACATTAGCAGAAAAGCAAACTGCTTCTACCTCTGCATGTGCAGTTCTCGAGGAAATTTCTTCAACTGTAAATGAGGAAAAGAAAAGTCAACCTTCCTGCAATTATGAAGTTCACCACAAAAGAAAGACAAGCCCACAAACATCAGAAAATAAAAAAAAAAGCAGCAGAAAGTAGATAATTTTTTTTAGAGTTAATTCAGGTAATTTAAAATATTTACATAAAATGTAGTAGTTTATATGTTTGAAAATTTATGGTTATTAATTTTGCAAAAAAAGTAATTCATTGAACTTTTATAATTAGGTCATTCAATACTTCATAATTGTAATTTTTCATTTCTCTCCCCCCCCCTTCTCGAATCTCCAAAATGTCGGTAGTAAGTCCGTAAAAGTTTCAGGGGATTTTTTGGGGTCCCACAAACACCCCTGATATAGTTTAATATGTGTTTCTTAAACAGCATTATAATTTTATTGTATCTCTTTTATTACTGTGCGATTGCTGTACTAATTTTTCCAAACATATTACAGAATATATTGGAATTTTCATTTTTTAAACAAAGTTGTAATTTCATTATATTGCTTTATATCATAATGTGACTGTTGTTTTAAGCATGCTTTAGCAATGTATGCCGCATTGAGTTGCAACAAAATGCTAGTTATCAGACTTCAAATCTTTAACAAGAGAGTCTCTACTATCAAACTGCTACAAAAATTAATGTTGAGGAATTTCTTTAAAAAATCTGTGTCAGTCTGAAACATAGTTTTTCTTTTGCATGCAGCAATATCAAAGATTTTTTTTTTCAGAAGTGGGAAAGTATAACCTGCAGTACAAGAGTATAACAAATCACTGAGCATTTTTATTGAATTTAGTGTCAGATGAAATTTAAATATTAAAAACTGTAAAAAAAGAATTTAAAACTATAGCTATAAAGTCTACTTTTTACTGAAAGTATTAGTACAGAAATTTTTCTGGCATTTGTATATATTAAGTTGCATTAATTTTATATTTATTTCTCAAAACTGCTAATTCTGAATACTTTTTTAAATATATTTTCTCTGATAATTGTGAAGCAAACAATGTAATGCTTAGGTCAGTATTTTTCAAAAATATTTTAATGTAACATTTTCTTCATATTTAAAACCGTAGTTGTTTTTGCACAGACCATTCTCCAAAAATTGTTAAAAAGGTATCTATCAGTAATATTTATCATTTCCTGTTTCCTAAGTAAAATATATTTTAATGCTATCAGAATTAACTTCATTCTATTAATAAATTTTGAAAATTAATTGTTGATCAAAAAATGTATTATATCATGTTCATGCTGTCTCGCAATCTCAAGTCTCATTATTTTAGGAGTACTTTTATTGAACTTGGAATTTTCTCAGTTTATTTTTTTAATGTATCATGTAATTACTTACATTAAGTAAATATTGATTTAAGTACCATAATAAAAGAACCTTATTGTACATCATGAGCAGCCAGTAATTAATAATTATTTATTTGCTCTTCAGATAAGTCTACAAATCATTCATATCATTAGAAACAAGCTTGAGATGGCCAACTTGGATACAACTAACATTATGCTCGTGATTTCTTTATTTTTCTAAACATATAACTACACTGTATTGCTATGCAGAATAGTTTTCTGTACAAAAATTATATCGTCATGAACAGGGTCAAAGGAAAACTCGATGAAAATAATTTAATAATTACTATAAAGCATGATGTTTTTGGGGTGGTTTACAGTTCAATCTAGTAACTTTGTGTCTACAAACCTAAGTTTTTTTAATTAATTAGTGGTGTTAAGTAATGCTATCAATAAACTTTGGGAGATATAGCAAGGTAGTGTTTCTAGTAATTCACCTCGTAACACTAGATCGTTAAAGCTCCCCAAAATAGAGCTTAAAAAGTTCGATGGAAAATTATTGAACTGGCTTCCATTTTGGTCTCAGTTAAAAAAAAAAATACACGAGAACCCTGATTTGCACAAAAGTGACCAATTTTAGTATCTTTTGCAGAGCATTAAACAAGGGACATGTGCTAGAGACTTTATTGACAGTTACCCAATGTCTGCGAAAAATTATTCAAAAGCTATTGGTGCTCTTAAGGAATGTTTTGGGAATCATGATTTATTAATTGAGGTATACGTGAGAGATTTTGTAAAGTTGATTGTAATGAATGTTAAAGCAGGTAGTAGTGAAAAATTACCATTGCCGCAATTATTTGATAAGATTGAAGCACAACTAAGAGCTCTCGAATCCTTAGATATTAAAACGGAAAACAATGCTTGTTGGTTATATCTCATGCCTCTTGGAGGAAGTCTTCAGAGCCTGGCAAAGAAGCCTGCTTTTTGGAGAAGTAAACAAAAGTTAGGATATTTCTCACTTAACTAATATGATGAAATTTTTAAGAATGTGAAGTGGAAGGGGAGGAAAGACTTAAGTTAGGGCTGAGTGGATTTG